CCACCAGCACTACTTTTTACATATAAATACACTCAAGTGATCAGGTTTGACATATAACAACATTACAAAAGTATGTATTCTGACACATTAAATAAGGTAATCCCAAAAACTTCACAATGATAAAAACTATTCCTACCTGATAGGGAAATTGTCTGAATTGTTCTTTTAATGGCAGTAAATCATGCAACTTTACTTCACTGCCATTAACATAGTCTAACCACCGAACTGCAGCAGAATTCTGTTAGCAAAAACATTAATAAGTAGATTTTAACACCAGTCACTGGTAGCAAAGATGTTGTTCTATCAGAACCATGATGTATAAACACATACCAGGAGTTAGGCATCAAGAGTTAGGCATCCTTACCCTGGGGAATGGCAGCTAGCTGCTCATGCTATATATCAACTAACTGCCAGTAGACACCGTCCGCGCGCCACCACACACCACCGTCCGCGCGCCACCACACACCACCGTCCGCGCGTCACCACACACCACCGTCCGCGCGTCACCACACACCGTCCGCGCGTCACCACACACCGTCCGCGCGTCACCACACACCGTCCGCGCGTCACCACACACCGTCCGCGCGTCACCACACACCGTCCGCGCGTCACCACACACCGTCCGCGCGTCACCACACACCGTCCGCGCGTCACCACACACCGTCCGCGCGTCACCACACACCGTCCGCGCGTCACCACACACCGTCCGCGCGTCACCACACACCGTCCGCGCGTCACCACACACCGTCCGCGCGTCACCACACACCGTCCGCGCGTCACCACACACCGTCCATGCGTCACCACACACCGTCCATGCGTCACTACACACCGTCCATGCATCACTACACACCGTCCATGCATCACTACACACCGTCCGAATGTCACTACACACCTTCCGAGTGTCACTACACACCGTCCGAGTGTCACCACACACCGTCCGAGTGTCACCACACACCGTCCGAGTGTCACCACACACCGTCCGAGTGTCACCACACACCGTCCGAGTGTCACCACACACCGTCCGAGTGTCACCACACACCGTCCGAGTGTCACCACACACCGTCCGAGTGTCACCACACACCGTCCGAGTGTCACCACACACCGTCCGAGTGTCACCACACACCGTCCGAGTGTCACCACACACTGTCCGAGTGTCACCACACACTGTCCGAGTGTCACTACACACCATCCAAGTGTCACTACACATCATCCTTGTGTCACTACACACCGTCCATGCATCACTACACACCGTCCATGCATCACTACACACTGTCCATGTGTCACTACACACCGTTCCAGTGTCACCACACACCGTCCCAGTGTCACCACACACCGTCCCAGTGTCACCACACACCGTCCCAGTGTCACCACACACCGTCCCAGTGTCACCACACACCGTCCCAGTGTCACCACACACCGTCCAAGTGTCACTACACACCGTCTAAGTGTCACTACACTGTCCATGCATCACTACACACTGTCCATGCATCACTACACACTGTCCATGCATCACTACACACTGTCCATGCGTCACTACACACCATCCAAGCGTCACTACACACCGTCCAAGCGTCACTACACACCGTCCAAGCGTCACCACACACCGTCCCAGTGTCACCACACACCGTCCCAGTGTCACCACACACCGTCCCAGTGTCACCACACACCATTCCAAGTGTCACTACACACCATCCAAGTGTCACTACACACCATCCATGTGTCACTACACACCATACAAGTGTTGCTATACAACATCCAAGTGTCATTGCACACCTTATCCGGTAACAGTTTCTCTATGACTGCTCTATACCAAGATCTATCTTCATCAAATAAGCCCCAACATAAACTGCCTTCTTCCAAATCTTTTGGGTCAAAGTCAATTTCACCAAGAACTATTTCTTTTCTACAAAACAAATTCAAAACACATAAGTTGTATCACCCGGATTGTTGAAAGGTGACATTTTACAACAACTAAAGATGTGGAATAAGTAATCATGTATTATTAAACAGGGACTTCAAGATGCACGGGAAGGCTGGATTCTTAGGTATTCGAGTAAATGTGTACTGAGTCACTTAAGCAAGCAAAATACGGTTGTTGTCCCATAATTTTGGGCAGGACACTAATCGGGACACAAGTTGTAAACAAAGATTCCAAACAATTAGTTTAATTCTTTGATCCTCTGTTTTAATAATACCAGGGATGTTCATTGCTATAAAATGTTGCAGTTCTCGCAACTCAAATGTTTCTCATGAAATTAAATCACTTTACAGAAAACTGCCTCATTGTTTATCTGTAATTAATATACTTGGACATTCTTACCTGTACTGAACTTCATCTCATCCAACTTAGCTGATAACATTGGATATTTGTCAAAGTCTCTAACCAGCCAGAACTCACCCTTTTCATTCATTCGACCTTCTACTAAACCGAGAACTTCTTCACCTGTAAGGTCAGAGTTAATCTCATTAGTTAAATTCAATGAAGTGCAGTAGAATTAGAGTGGAATTTGACTCAGCTTTTGCTTGGAAAACATAATTTGAGTAGAAATATGTTACAATCACAACAGTCAATAGACCTTCCGGCTGGTACACATGTGGTGATTTGAAGCAGTCAAAAATACTTGATTATCAAGAGACAATCTGATAACAGCAAAGATAACAGCATTTTTGACTGAAAATGAACAAAACTTTTTCAAATTTACATCAAAATCTTGCATCAGATTGCTTTCATATTTCTGACTCAGATATCTTGGGTTGATCCATTCCACTATAACTTAATAACACTGGGTTTTTGTTGAAAAAGAATAATATTCATAGAAAAAATTAAAACATTCTGAAAACATACTGATCTAATAAATTCATCAAAATGGGTCAATTAAAGTAATGGTATAAGTTAACAAATTTAAATGCATCCTGTTGAGGTAAATATAAAACTAAATATAAAAGCACTCTGATGAATACATTTGTGGAAATGGTTGAAGATAAAACCAAACCAAAAACAATTGTCATCCATCAATCAAATTAACAGCGACATTAAGAGATCTTGCCAGAATTAACGACTGATGTTCATCTTACTTACATTACTATGGGTTCAAGCCATTAAGCTAATGAAAATTAAAAAAACAATTGGGGTCACTGGACTAAATCATGAAGCGAAATGTTATGGTTGCAAAAATTTGCATTTTGCATCAGTTTCTATGATGTATGATAAAATCATTTTTCCATATCTTGACAATTTACCCAGTTATCAATAGGTGAAAAATCAATAATTATTATCAATATGATACTGTTAAAAAAATTAACATTTAACGAGTTTCCCGAAAAATAAAAATTTTTGGTTATATTTAATTTAAGGTTCTTCAACAATAATGCATTGCACATGTGCGGTAGCAAGCTCAGTAGTGAAAATTTTAAATTGGTTTGATAATTCTGCCTTAATAATAACCTTCTTTATTTGTCCAATCAATGTCATCAGTACTTGTGCTAGACTCAATTTCTACAATTTGTATGGCATCTATGTCAGTCTTAATTGTACTGACATCTATCATGACTTCAAACTGTCCTTCTGGATAGTTATCACTGAGGGCTTTCCTGTCAAGACTGGTCTCAATCTGAAAGAATGAAAACATAAACGTAAATCAAAGAAAGCTTAGAAAGAACTCCCGTGTGCTGAGAGTTTTGGAGACATATTAAAAATTAATTCAAAATTACTTATACTTGAGATATTGATGGAATAGCTGAAAACTAATTATGCAAATAAGGTAACTAATATGAACAGATTAAGTGTAAAACTAATAAGGTCTACACAATGTACCAAGTTTCATTGAAATGTGATTAGAACCAAAAAATATTAATTATTATGCTAATTAGAGAATTAATATGAACAGATTTTAACCCTAAAATTAATCAGACTGTCTATTGTCCTAGAGCATTTATGTACCAAGTTTTATTCAAATGTGATGATCAATACTTGAGATATCAGTATTAATTAATTATGTTAATTAGGATGATTAAGAAGCATAAATATTTACCAAAAACTAATATGGTGCATAGTCTTACGTTCATTGAAATGTGATAGGTACTCTTTAAAAGTTTCATTGAAATCCAATGAGTGGTTTTTAGACATTATAGAACAGCAAAAAATTAACTAATTATGCAAATTAGGTAATTAATAGGCACAATTATTTATCCCAAAATTAATCAGGTCTCTGCATAGTCCTAGAATATCTATGTCGCAAGTCTCATTGAAATGTGATGATTAGTACTTGAGATATC